GCGGGGGATGGGGCCAGGCAGGGCATGGACTGGGGGGCTAGAGGAGTGGGTGGGGCCAGCAGGGTCTCCCCCCATGGTCCCCTCCCCCCTCCTCCATCCCCCCCATGCCTTATGTATTGGCAGTGGAGCCTGGGTACAGTTCCCTGCTGTTGGCACACTGCCTGCCCTGCACGGCACGCTGCCTGCCCTGCACGGGCAGGCAGTGTGCTTCAGCACCAGGGCAAGGGACAACCATAGAGATGCTTTCACAGCCAGAGCGTCTCTGTGGAGGACCCAGCCTCCGGCTGCCTCAGGACATGGTCTGGGACCATGCCCTGGCTTGCTTTTTTCTCTGCAGGGTTTTTCTCTGCGAGATAATTTTGCATTTTCTCATTCCTGCATGCGCCTCTTGCAGTGCCTCAAAGAGGTTTGAGATGCTGCAAGAGGCATGTGCAGACTAATCTGGACATGTCCCTTGAGTTCAAATATGGTAATTCTTCTGACCCTGAGCAGAGAGGTAAACCTGCTGGCTAGGAACATCTGGTTTTGCTCCCAGCAGGAGCATTGGCACACTCCAAAATTACCTAGCTAGCCTTGGCTGTAGCTAACATTCAATATCTCTGAGGAAGGCTTAAAAACACCCTGACACACATATTCCAAAAAGGAGAGGGAGAGGGATGGGGGCAACCAACAAAGCCCAGAAGCATGAGAAATATCCATTGTACAAAACAGGCATAGCTATGGCTAGATCATCCCTAACCAGTGACTGTCCAACCTTTTCTGGAACACCTCCAGTGATAGAGAGTCCACAACTTACTTAGGCATTCTATTCCACTGCCTCACTATTCTCACAGTGAAGAAATCTTTCTGAATATCCAGTCTAAACTTCCTTTGCTGCAGCATCAAGCCATTGATCCACATCCTCCTCTCTCTGCATCAAGAGAGAAAAGGTGCTTTCCCTCTTCTTCATGGCAGCTCTTCACGTATCATGTCCCCTCTGAAATGTGCTTTCTGCAAGCTGAACATGCCTAGCTCCTTCAGACTCTCCTCATCTGACTTGCCTTCCAAGCCCCTGATCATCTTCGTTGCCAGACTCTGGACCCTCTCTAACTTCTCCATGTCCTTTTTTAAAATGTGGAGTCCAGAACAAACAGCAACTCAAGGAAGACATCTGCGAGGCATGGGACATAATAATGGGAGGTCAGAGTCATGTACAAACCCCTAGGCATCGGGGTCTAAAATGGGCAGCCTCCTGCTTATGGGAACACCAGTTTACTTTACAACAAAGGCATGGCAGGAGAGATTGGGCAGACTGCCCTGGACAGGCAGGTGGGCCGGTACTGTGACTGGGCTCTGGGAGTTGCCCCATCACGCTTGCTCAAGATATTTTCTATGCCAGCATCCAAATAATTAATAAACATGTTGAACACCACTGGGCCTAGGACATACCCTTTGTAGCAAGATGGCTGGCAAAGGCTTGCAGCAGAGTGCACACTCCAGGCTGGAGAAGTCTGAAGGCTTGTGGGGACTACAGTTAGCTGCAGACAGTCAGGAGTGACTGCAGTCTGCCTAGGAGAACTGGACCAACTGCAAAACATAATGAATTGGCTGCAAGAAGTTAAAGGCTCCTAGGGAGAGGAACCAGAGGGTGGAGATTGAGAGGGAGAAAGGGTGCTTGGCTAGCTGTGGCAGAACTGAGCCGAGGGCTCTCCCAGGGTCTGGCAAAAGATGCAGGGCTGCAAAGTGGCAGGCAGCAGCATCACTTGACCAGAAGGGGGAACCTACATAAGAGAGAAGGAAGACTGCAATGAGGTGCTGAGGGAGCAGCATGAAGTCAGCAGCACCTTCTCAGGGTCTAAAGAGAGACCTCAGGACTGAGTTGCTCTGTATGGACTGTGTTTATGAGTGTTTTTTGAGGACTGGTTTACATTGATTTCTTTGTGACAAGGGTGCCCGGGAATAAACATACAGAGTGAGAGACTTAAGTTGACTGGCTGAGCTAAGCATTAACCCTGAACCCACTATACCCCTGTTAGACTCCACTTAAAACCTCCTGCCATTCTGACATGGGCCAGTTAATAATTACCATTTGCTTGTGACTATTCAGCCAGCTATGTATTCAATTCATAATGGTTTTAGCTAGCTCACATTTCTCCAATTTATAAAAAGGTTGTGTAGGACCTTGTCAAACCCTAGCTAAAGTCTAGATATACTATATCTGCAGCATTCCCTTCATCCACCCAAGTAGCTACTTGGTCAAAGAAAGAGCTCAAGTTTGTTTGACATGATTTGTTTTTTATAAATCCATACTGGCTGCTTGTGATCAGCCATTCCTCCTCCAGGTGTTTGTAAACCTTCTTTAGGATATGCTCCAGTAACTTCCTGGGCATTGAGGTGAAGCTAACTGGTCTGTAGTTCCCAATGTCCTCCTTCTTGCCTTATTAAAGAGGGACACTACACTGGACCTTTCCCAGTCTTCTGGTACCTAGCCTGTCTCCCACAATGTCATGAGGATCATTGTCAAGGGCTCTGAGATCTCCTCTGCCACTTCCTTCAGGATCCTGGGATGAAGCTTATTTGGCCCTGCTGACTTGAATTCATTCACACCCAGAAAAAGCCTTGTGATCATTTCTTTTGTTATTTCCTCTCTCAGCATTCCTCCTTCCTTATGCAGATAGGTGTTCGGCTGCAGCTTAATTTTTTTGTGAAGACTGAGGCAAAGTAACTTTTGAGTAGCTCTGCTTTCTTTGCATCTTCAGTTAGCAGTTACCCCTGGCTTGTTAACAGGACCCACAGCTTCCTTGGTCCATTTTTCTGGCCAACATACTTACAGAACCTCGTCTTGTTGTCCTTAACCTCCTTTGCAAGATGCAGCTTGTTCTTTGCTTTCCTGATTTTATATTTCCAGGCATGCTTCTTTGGTGACCTGCCCATTCTTCCACTGCCTGTATACTTTCCTTTTGCATTTGAGACATTTTTAGAAGTTCCTTGTACAGCCATATTGGCCTCTTGCCATTCTTCTTGTGCTTCCATTGTACTGGGACAGTTTCTTGTTGGTCTTCAAATACTGTGTCCCTTAGAAGCTTCCAGGCCTCCTGGACACCTTTATCCTTCAGTCTATTCTCCCATGACACCATGCCCATTAGCTTCTTGAATCAGACAAAATCAGACTTTTTGAAAACTAACCTCCTAATTTTGCTAACTTTATGCTTTCCCTGTGGCAGGATTTGGAATTCTACCATATTCTGATTACTTCCTCCCAAGTTAACCTTCATGGTCATATTCTCCACTAATACTTATCTGTCTGTCAGGATAAGATCCAAGATTTACAATCACCTAGTTGTTTCCTCCACTTACTGGAACATAAAGTTGTCCTCCCCACAAGTTAGAAACTAGCATGACATTTTATTTGGCTGCACTGTTCTTCTAGCAGATGTCTGGAAACCTGGAGCCTCCCATCAGTAGCACCCCATAGCTTTTGGAAAGATCTGTCACCTGCTTGAAGACTACTTCATCTATCTCCTCTGAATTAGGTGGCCTATAATCCCCATGATTATACTGTTCAATTGACTCTTTCAGCACTGCCTGAATAGAAATGCCACTGCTGCTGCTGGGCAGTTGGTTTTAAACCTTGAGTGGAACAGGAATGCAATTGGACCACTGCACCCTCTGGATCTGCCCCTGTCAGACTCTATCTGGCTGCTAGAGGGAAGAGGGGGGTGGAAAAGTAATAGCCGTTTTACAGCACTTCCATGGTTCTATTCTGAGCAGAAAAAAATCAGCTTTATTGCTTGAGATATGCATCCTAATTTTGGAAGGCTAATTTTTGGGAAAGGGTGCATGTAGTATACAAATAGGATATTTATAGCATCTAGGCTTGAAAAAAATTCAAAATCAATACATAATACACAACATAATTGTGAACAAACTTGTGTAGTCACTACTGGATTCATATTACTTTACAAACAACTAGAGCTTTGTTTTTGTGAATACAATTTCAACCACAGTAATTTATGTATGTTTATAGTTCAAGATATTTACGTTTAGGACATAACCTACTTACAGCAAAGTTACTCTGTGCTGCATAATGTAGGGGTGTTGCTCCTTGGCTATCAGATGGGATGGTTCCAAACTTGTTTCTTTCTAATAGGAGATGGACAATTTGTGCATGGCCTGAGAAAAGAGAAGGCATTAACATAAAAATATAAGGCATATAGCACCCTAGGTGCTGGAACAGGGGTGGGCAAAATATGGCACCCGAGAGATTTGTCCAGCCTGCGGCAGGTCCCTCGGTCTTGCCCAGTCCAGGTGCAGGGGACAGCCCTGACCATGTCATATACAGCTGGTCTCATTACCCCCAGGCATGCAGTGGGCCTGAGGTGGTGCAGCTGCTAGACTCGCTTCCCAGCATCCCCAGTGGCAGCAGTTCCTCCAGCTGCCACTGCCGCTGGACCCAGCCCCGCTACCTGGCCACCTTGGCCTATCTGCCCCACACCCACCACTGGAAGTGGGACCTGTGCAGGGCATGTGATCAGGCAGATGGGATGGGGCCATGGGTTGGCGGTGAGCAGTGTTCAGGAGCAGGATGGGCAGGTGAGGCCGGGATCACAGGGCAGGATTGCAGGGCAGTAACAGTGTAGGGCTGGGGCTGGGGCCAGGGCAGAGCAGCAATCTACTGCTCAAAAAGCCCTGCAATGGGCATGGGTTCTGTGGGGAGCTGACTGCAGCTCTGTCCCCGGCCCTGGCTCTGTGCTGTCACTGCCCCAAGATCCTGGACCTGGCCCCAGATGCAGCTCCCTGCTTGCCTGCAGCCTCCTCCCATCTGCCTGGCCATGCAACCTGCCCGCATGGGTCCCAGCCAGTCTCCATGGAGATCTCGGGTTTGTTGGGTGGTGATAGTGAAGAGCCGGGGCCCAAAGTACAGCTGTGATCTACTCCCCACATGCTCCTGCCTGTGGAAGCCATGCCTGCAATGGATTGTGGCTCTACCCCAGGCCCTGGCCCTGTGTTGTCATTACCCCACAATCCCAGCCCCAGCCCTGCCTGCTCACCCATTCTGCTCCCAGATGCCACTCCATGACCTTTGCTTCCATGACCCTTTGCTTGTCTGTGCAGCCACTAGGCTGACTGCAGAACAGAACCACTTAAGGATTGTTGGTGAGCTGTTGGAGGGGGGGAGGAAGAAAACGGGGGCAGGGCCAATGTTCCCTCTAAGGAGTAGCGGTCCATGAGTACGTCGCCTCAGTCCATGAGCACGACACCTCGGTCCAGTGTGGGACACTTACTGAAGAGGGCTGAGGGCTGGGGGCCGGAGGCTGGGGCCTGGAGGCTGGGGGTTGGAGCCAAGAGGTTGGGGGCTGGAAGCTGGAGTCCAGGGGCCGGAGGCTGGGGGCTGGAGCCAAGAGGCTGGGACCAGGGGCTGGAGGCTGGATCTGGGGGCTGGAGGCTGGGGCCGGAGGCCAGAGCTGGAGGCTGGGGCCAGGGGCTGGAGCTGGGAGCCAGGGGCTGGAGCCAGGAGCTGGGGGCTGGCGTGGGCTCTGCTGGCTCTGGGGAAGTGCTCTGCTCCCCAACATCAGAGCCGGAGCGTGAAACACTTCCCCGGAGACGACAGAGCCCGCGCCAGCCCCCTGCCCCAGCCTCCAACCCTGCCTTGCCTTGCCTTACCTCGGGGAGGAGATGCTGCCTGCCCCAGTGAGGCTCCGCTGGCTCCGGGACACTGCTCCGCTCCCCAGCCCTAATGCCACGTGCCTTGAGGGGGAACAGAGCAGTGTCCAAGAGCCGGCAGAGCCTCACTCAGGGCAGGCAGCATTTCCTCCCCGAGGTGAGGCAAGGCAGGGATGAAGGCTGGGGTGGGGGGCTGGCGCAGGCTCTACCAGCTCCAGGGAAGTGTTCCGCTCCCTGGCCCTGATGCAGAGCACTTCCCTGGAGCTGGCGGAGCCTGTGCCAGGCTCCCACCCCCACCTCACTTAGGAGCTGACCTTCAGCTCCTCTCCTGGTGCATGGCTTTGAAAAGGCTGTGCGCAGCCACACTTTTAGTTGTGCGCAGCCGCGCATGCACGCACCTTAGAGGGAACCTTTGGCAGGGCGGATGTGACCCAGCCTGTGACAGCTCACCAAAACTCCTTATGTGGCCGATGATCCCAAACAATTGCCCACCCCCGTCCAAGATCCTAAAACCTTTTTAAACATAAGAAAATAAAAAGCCTGAATAAATATCAAGACACTCAATGAAAGTCAGATTTCAAATGGCCTACTGCAATTTTTAAATGTACATCTGGTCAGTAGTGTTTTAATTCAACTCTGGTATTTCTATACAAATACTATCAATCTCAGATCTAATTTTTTCTTATTTGCAAACCTATTAGATAGGTGCAAGTGACCAATGTAAATTCTTTTGGAGTGCCATTTTCAAGGGCACTTTAAATGTCTGAATATATTCCTTTAAAAAAATCATAGTTTTATTTAAATGAGAGACTCTCTTCATAGATTGTTTATTGTACAGTTACACTAAATATATACTCTAATTGGAGGTGCAGTATTTCTTGATTTTCGCTTTGCAATTGTGATTCCTTTACTGACATCTCTGTCTGCAGCTTCCTAGAGGGTTAGAGGATTTAAAGTAGAGTGTAAATGTTTGAAACTTCTTTTTCATGTGACACATAGTGTTTAATTTGCCCCCATGCTCAGTTGAGGACAGAAACTGTAAGGTCACTTTTTAATACATTATATTGGTGATGAAATAAACCATGCTTTCTTATACTTAGACTGCATGTATTTATTTTATGCACATTTTAGTTCCTGCTTTGTGGATCTAGTTTTGTAACTTATAAAAAATAAAACTGTACAAAAGAATTTGTATGTGCAATTTTATAGCATATACGGAGCATTTAAAACTTTACTTAAGAGGTCAGAATGAAAAATCAGCTGCAGCAGCACAAAAAAGAAAGTGAAAAGTCCATGTGCATTTTTTTCTGGCAGACCTTGGGTTCTTGGGACGGGGTAATTTGAAATAAAGAACAGTTACTGCCCCCCTGAGACAAAGGGTACTTACTTCTCTGATAAGGCTGAGTAGCAGAATTTTGCAAGGTTTTATGAAAACAAGTAAAAAAAAAAGTCAGGCATGTTTGTGTTTGTTCCAATAGGTATCTGTATATCAGAACGGTTCAGGACATCAATGTTTGGTTGTTGTATCCTTTCAAAAACAAAGCCATTCACTATATCCACAGGTTCATGCTTTCTGAATCCAAAAGCAAAAAATGTCTTCTACTAAAGTTTTTATCATAATTTTTAACCCTAAGGAAACAACTGACAATTTCAAAGTTCAGGGAAAAAATTATTAAGTTCTGAACCACCCTTGGGAAGAAGGAAACACCACCTCAAAAATCACATATGTGCCTTCTGTACCTGGCCTGGATTAGCATTGCTCCACTGACTGTAATCTACAGTGATTATTTGTGATTTTAAAGGTTGCATAAAAGAGGAAAGGGGAAGTGAGAAGCCATTAGGCCTTGCTCAAGAAAGTCATTAGGCCTTGTTGAGAAAACCTATAAATATTCCTTCATTTCTAACCTCCGTTTTGGGGCAGATTATTGAAAGGATGCTGAGGAGATACCACCAGTTTCCTCTGCAGCCCATGGATTTCTTTCGTCCCTCTCAATCAAGTTTTCAGCCATGATGTGGTACAGAGACGGCATTGATTTAATTGGCTAATGGTTTCCTCTTAGCAAAGGTCAAATGGCAAGTATCCCTGCTGCTTCCTTTAGTGCTCTCAGCAGCCTCTGATCAATGGATTTTGTTAAACACCAACCCTCGGGGTAGTGGCACTTAGAGATTTTGTCCTTTCCTCTTAGAGATCCAGGGGAGTGGTGTGTGGTGACTGTTCATCTTGTTCAAGATCTCTTTCATACAGTTTTGCTCTTCAGGGTTCTATTCAGTTACCCCTCCTATTGAATGCTTATGTAGCCCTGCTTGCAGAGCGAGAGTAAGCAATTCTGAGCTGCATACCACTAAGATACAGATTATGCCTTTCTCATCCAATCTGTGTTGTATGATGTCTTTACAAATGCCTGATTGAAAGAGCAGATAAAACTGGATGACTGGAGCAGATCTAGATTTGTCTAAAGCAGGGCTAGGCAATTATTTGGGCCACAGAGGGAGTTTTGTTGAGGTGTCATAGGTCATGTCAGCACCCCCCGCCCCTCCCCATGCAACAACTCACCAAAACCCGCTATGTGGGATGGGACCATGGGGAGGCTGGGAGCTGTGTTCAGGAGCAGGAGTGGTGAACTAGGCCAGGATCACAGGGCAGGATCATGGGGCATTGATGGCACAGGGCCAGGGCCCAGGGCAGAGCTGTGATCTGCTGCCTGCGTACCCCTCCGATGGGCGTGAGTTGAGCAGGCAGGGGCATGCAGGGCCAGATCTGTCCTGGCCCGGCCCCGTGCTGTCACCACCCCAAGATCCAGTCAAGAGTCATGTGGGTAGAGCACTCCCATCACATCTGCCTGGTAGAGTGCCCTGCCCATGCAGTTCCTGGCTGGTTTGCATTGAGACTCTGGCATCTTGGGGCAGGGTCTCCATGGAGACTGATCAGTGGGGAGCTCCAATCCCATCTGCCTGGAGGAGCACCCTGCCCGTGTGGCTCCCAGCCACTCTCAATGGAGACACTGGGATGTTGGGGTGGTGACAGCATGGGACCAAGGCACAGCCCCAGTTCTGCAGGCAAAGACATGTGCTGAGCACATTGCAGCTTTGCCCCAGCCCCACACTGTCTCTGCCCTAAGATCCTGGTGTCTCCCCAGCCCCACCTGCCTTTCCTGCTCCCAACTACTGCTCCACGCTGGCCCGTCGCCATGGCAGACAGGCTGGGGTGTCTGGGCAGTGGGGCAGCGGCAGCCAGAAGAAGCCACTGCCACAGCCAGAGCTAATTTGCATAGAGACACCTCTCCACAAAAGAAACTCCTGCCCAGAAAAGCATTCCATCTTTCCAGGCTTCTGTGAAATATGAAACATCATAACCAGAAGGAAATATAATTCTACATCCTGCTTAGCACCAGACAACTTCAAGGTAAAAAGGCTTTCCAACTTTTCTCTGAGCCTAAGCTGCGCAAAATGAACTGTTCCAAACAGGAGACTCTATCACACCTGGAGGTCTCCTGTGAAACATGAATTTTAATTTCTATGTACGAGAACTTTTACAATTTTTGCAATCTCCTATGCCTGATGAAGGGTGCCTGTGCCCGAAAGCTTGCAAATAAAAAAAAAATTGCAAATACGTAGTTGGTCTTACAAAAGCTATCACCTCTGCAGCAAGTTTTGATTCCTTTTGCCTATAGACCAATATAGCTATAACCTGGATACCTTTCTTCCCCAAAGCACTTGGATTCCTGATTATCCCAAGACTGGAGTAGCTCTCCTCTATGCAGTTCTGGCTCTAATATTACTCAGTGGTAGAGGTAACGCTAACTGCATCTTATCTTGCCCACAAACTTCCATGTAGTGTGGCTATGCCTCCTACAGCTGTTTTTCTCTGTTGCTCCTGACCAAGTCTCTGGGTACCTTCATATATTATTCTGGTGTACACCACCTGGAATTACTCTTGGGAAAAAAATCTGAAGCATCAGCTGACTAAGAATGAGGGGACTGCTCATTCTGCTGTGTTAGCTATAAAACAGAAGTAAGCTGAACACTGCATTCACTTCCTCTACCTTTCAGGGTGTAAAACATATTATCTGTAACTATTTGATCTTAAAGCAGTGTCTGGATTGAGTTCTGGCTACCTGAGGAACAGCCTCACCATCTATGCACTCATCTGGGGACAAGAATAGCTGACATGCTCTTATTAACGGTTCTTAGTTCTGGTCTGCTGGTATACGATATTTCAGTGGATGACCTCAGACTACAAAAACTGCTTCTTCATTGGCTTTCCAGAGCCTGAGTATAATTCTACAAAAATTAGTAAACATAATACCAGGCAGGAATTTAACAGTAACAGGAGACAGAATAAAAAAACAGGTGACAGTTCTTAAATAATTTTAAATTAATTGTTATTCAATTTACCCAGTAAAGCTGCCCAGTGAAGAGGTGTTCGAAATAGATTGTCATAAGATGTCACATTGCAGCCTTCGTAAGAAGTCAAGACATCAACCACTGCCACATTCCCATCAGCCACAGCAAAATGAAGGGGAGTTCGTCCTTCATAGTCCTGCCAGTTCAGTAGAGATTCTGTAGGAGCAGCATCCTATTTAAAACAGAATCAGAAACAATAAATAATTATATGAGCTTGAAAGAAAACTAAAGACTTTCCACTGCTGGTGGAAAATGCCTTCCAGTAGGTAAGAAATGAAGTGTCATCAATTCAATACAGAAGATAAACAAAACTACTTATAAATAACTAAGGTTCTTTGAAAGGTATTGTCCACAAAGACATTCTCATTTGTGGGTGTATTTCATGTCCTGGACTTCAACCAAAGATTTTTTTTTACTAGCAGTAGCTGGAGAGTGTGCTGGAGCCCTGCCTTGCTCATATTCTTGCAATGAAGGAATAAAGGGCAGGGCACACTTCCTGCTTCTCAGTTTTCTCTCAACAGCAGAGCCCTCTATTTATCACTCTGAGCAAAAGGGGAAGAAGGCAGGAGGGATGAGAAAATACATATAAACAATCAGATAATTCCAGTTACTGATAAATAACTAGGTTCTCTCCTTCAAGTAATTGTCCACACACTATTCTCACTGGAGGGTAACTCCAAAGTTAGAGGACTTATGCATAGAGATGGGCCATAAAGTCCCCCAGGTGAATAGGATGTAGCTGAGCACAGGTTGTCTTGGAGCCCAGCTGGGACAACTAGCTTGCTAAGCTGGGGCATAGGGGGGTTAACCCTTAAAAAAATAGTTATGATTATATTTATACAAGGCACTAAAATGTTAAGTGTAGAAAACACCCAGGACAGCAGAAGTAAACTGCAAAGGTCCTACAATAATTAGAGCAATGGGGACTATATGCCAGCAAAAAGTTGTACCAATAAATGTCATGTCTTCTACCCATGAAGAATAAACAAGCAAATGGTCAAAGTATGGGGCTCTTTGCTTGGATATGGACAAGGTAAAATTGTATTTGTCAAAAAGGATGTTGCAGAAATTAAGACACAGGATAGGCAGAAAATGCCTTACTTTAAAAATCTCATGCATGAAGAATCTGGAACATAATGGCATGCCTAGATAAGGATTGAGATAGAGGTCTGAACTGAAGATGACGCCCAGCTGAGTCTGAGTGGAGAAACAAGGTGATGTGGAAGGCTTAAGGGGATTCAGAGTTTTATTTTAGTCCGGTTGAGCTTGAACTAATGGTCAGACATCCATAAAATAGTGCCAGAGTGACAGATCAAAGTTTTAGTTGGGGCAGAAGACAGGCCAGGAACAGAGATATATTTGAGTCATCCAGAAAAAGACGGTAGCTGAATTTATGTTTGTCTATGAGATTATTCGGAGATAAAATTCATATAAAAGAATCTTTAGGCTAAATCAGGTCTTCATTTAAATTTGTGCCACCCCATTGCCTTCATAACATATAATCAGTTGTAATTTAAAAAAAAAAATTGGGAAGAGAAAAAAAAGCTTATTTTTCCACTAGACTCAGAAAAAATGGCTCTGAACAAACACCAGGAACACATCAGCTGAGAAAGGTGACACTTAAATATAAAACATGGAAAGGTCAGGGACATTGTACTTCACAGAGAAGGTGAGCTATAAATGGAAGACTCACGTAAGCAAGAGCTACTCAATATCTACTTTTCTCTATTCTTTACCAAAAAAAGGCAACAAGAATATTAGCAAACACAATATAAACAAAAAAGGGAAAGGGCTGCAGTTCATGATAAGTAAAGAATGCGTCAGAAACTGTAACTAATTTGAGCTCCTTTAAATCATCAGGGCCTGACAGATTTAACCCCAGGGTGCCAAAGGAAGGTACTGAAAACATTTCAGAGCCACTGGCAATCCTATTTGGAAAGTCATGGATGATAGGACAAGTCCTAGAAAACTGGATAAGGACTGACATGGTGCCTTTTTAAGAAAAACTTAAAAAAGGAAAATGGAGGGAAGTACTGATATAAGGTGAACACATTGTGCAAGAGGTCATCAGCAGAGATCCTGGTTTTCTCTATTTAAAAATTGCAAATTCTCTGATTTAAAAAAAAATTGCAAATTCTCTAATTTGACCCCCTCAAAACCTGTGTTTTTCTGGGATTAAAATGAAACACCACTATATATATAGGTATCGGTTGAACACAATGTTTTATTGATATATTTACAATTTTATAACAATTTGGAAGCCTACCAGTACCTCAGTCACTACAATGAAATACATTCAAAATATCTATACATTATGGCATTTAATTTTGGGGGTTTTTTTCATGGAAAATCAGAGCTCCCCTGTCCCCTCTGCTCACCAGGATGCAGGTCCAGCTGCAGCTGTCTCACCCCACCAGCTGCTTTGTGGCACTGAGCAGCCCTGATATGTCGGTGCCCTGCCTACGCCATTGCCCTTCATTATGAAGCGACAGCCCCCCAGCCCTGCTAGTGCCCCTCACTCCAGATCCGTAGCCCCCTGGCACAGCCAGTGTCCCTCACTCCTGACCCAAGGACCTCCATCCCTGTCGGTACCCTTCACTCCCCATCCACAACCACCTAGCCCTGCCAGTGCCCCTCACTCCTGACCCACAGCCCCCTGGCCCTTCTGGTGTCCCTCACTCCCCACCAGCAGTGCCCAAACCCCAGCTGCCATCCATGGGAGGTGGCAGCTACTGCAGCCTGTGCAGAGCACAGAACCTAGCTCCCCCTGCCCAACAGGTGACACAGCTGGACCGGAGTCCATGGTGGCGGGGGTGGGGAGGGGGAGGAAGATGCAGGCTGGGCTTGCAGGCTCAGGACTCCCCATCCTTTTTTCCTAGAGGCTTCCACAGCCCAGCAGGAGAGACCTGGTGTAGCAGGGCAGAGCAGGGCGGGAGGCTTGGTGCTGCCACCAGGAGCCCCACATCACCATGGCAAGGCACCCCCTGCTGGCCCAGCAGCAGCAGAGGGCACAACTCTATACCACTACCCCTACTGCTACCAGGCAGGCAGCGGGTGCCTCACTATGGTGGTGTGAGGCTCTTGGCAGTGGCACCAAACTTCCTGAGCCCGCAGAAGCCAGCCCACATCCGCCCCCACACTGCACACAAATCTGGGGAACATGTGTTCTCAGTGCCCCCCCGGGAGTACGGGCTGTGGTGGGGAGCCAGACCCCTCCTCCACTGAATGAGCTGCCTACAGCTCTGTCCTGCTATCTGCCGGGGCCCCATGGCCACACATTCCCATCCTGGCCCCAAGCTCCAAGCACCATGCCAACTGGGCAGCACCCCCAGCCCCAACCCTGCCCAACCTCCCTCCCTCACTATGGGGGCCTCAATCCCTCCCCCCGCCTCCCACACTTACCTACAGGGAGCTGTGGGAGCTGCTCTCCATGCTGCCTGGCTGTCATGTGCTTGTGTGCACACGCGCACAAGCACGTGGGACCCCCTGCCTGACTGCCCTCCTCCTGCTCTCCCCAGCCCCTTGCAGGCTGGAACTCTGCCAGCCTGCAAGTGGAAACTTGCTGTTTCCTGTGTTTTTCTCCTTAAAATGAGAAAGTCCGCATTTTACTGTGTTTTTCCATGGCAAACAGAAAACCTGGATCCCTGGTCATCAGTACAAATAACATGCCTGAACATTTATAATGAGTTGATTTTACAGACACCAAAACATTTAGGGCCACACAAACCAAATTAATCATCATAATAATAGCATCTCATGCTTTAGATCATATATATATTATTCCCCGAGATCCAGAAGGAATTCTCTTCAATCTTCAGTGTGACACAGCTAACTACATATATTGTGAGATATATTCAGCATCTTATGAGACATTCGTTATTGCATTGACCAAAAGAATCCAGCATTTAAAAGGTCAATTAAAGGATCCATCACATTTTATATTTCTATGTAACTAAAAATATCTGGATCACAGTACAAGAAAACATAAAAATAGAAGAAACTTTCTTACCAGAATACATTTGACTGTGTTAATTGCACTGGTATCCTTGTGATTAGCTGCCCAGTGAAGTGGGATTTTGCCTTCAATATCAGGGATTCCAATGTTAGAATCATGTCTTATGAGAAGTTTCACATGCTCTGGATTATTGTAGTAGGCACTCCAATGCAGAGCAGTTTGCTAGAACACAGCATTCACAAATATTACTAACACATATGAGTACTAATAGTCTGTTTATATTTATCTGATTATATTTTTAAAAGTGCATAGGTTTTTATTTGCACTATTATCACTTGAACTTTTAATGTATCATACCTGATAGGTATCTGTGTAAAATGTACACTATAAGGGCTAATCCTATTCCTATTGATATTAGCTTCAACGGGAGTAGATTTTGACTCTACATAGCTTAAAAGGGTATAAACTGATCAAATGGGGGTGCTTCAGTTCTAAAAAGTATTAAGTACCAATATTTTTAGGTCATTTGTAATTATTACTTCAATAGTGTCATTCACAGAAAAGAAAGAGTACATCATTCCCTTACAGCAATTGTTTGAGACACTGTGGTCAGGTGTGGATCCCACTTTAGGGATAGAAGTGACTTATATGTAAGAACAGATTTTTTTGAAAAACAGCGTCTAACATATAACACCACATTTTCAGCATGTGGGATTGTTCTTCCCACGTTACTTGAAGGAAACGAATAATGTTGAGGCCTGTGAAACCATGAATAAAAGCAAAGAGAGTAGTTGGTTCCAATGGCACACATCAATGGAAATGAATTTTCACAGCATGCTCTTCAAGGTCATACTAAATCTTTCCACTAGCTTATATGAGATGGTGAAAGGAGGTTCATGAAGTTTTGATTTTCAGCGACTGACATAGATAACTCCAAGTCTGAGCTATAAGATAATTCCTTGGTCGATAACATTTTCTCTTGATACCCCCAACTAGGTCAAAAACTTCACAAGTTCCACTTGGTGATGGCTTTGGATATCATAGACCACAAGGGTGTATAAGGGTAATGGGTGGGCAGCATAGTCTATGATAATCAAAATAGATCTGTACCTGGCTGCACTCTTTTTGAGAAGTCCTATCAATCCTTAAACATGGGATGTCCACCAAAGGGAGGGCTTTTTCTCTTTCAAGGAGACTTTTGCCATTTTCTACAGGGCAGCAAGCTTACATTCTGGACATAAAGCACAGGAATCCTTATCTACCCCTGGATAAAAGAATCAGCGCAGGATTCTTTTTAACATCTTTTCCTTGCCCCAGTGTCTGTTATAGAAGACAGCACAGGCTTACTGCATAATTTCCCCTTGACTAGATTTGAGGACTAATGCTGACCTTTCTGAAGGTGGTAACCCAAAATATGAGAAGATTCACATTTCTGTATTAATTGGTGGTGCACTAAAATGCTACAAGAGTTGTCAAAAGGTAAGAAATGTTTTACCTTATTTTTGTCCTGTGTATCAACTTCTCCTGGTGCCATGTATTTTAGCAACAAAGCTAAGCATTTTGGACTCTTGTGCTGGGTAGTTAAATGCAAAGGAGTCATTCCTTCTAAATCCTTCTTCATCCAGTTTGCTCTACGAGCCAGTAAAAGTTTCATGAAGCGATAATTTCCCTGGATAAGGAAAAATATAACAGTAAAAAACTATTCTACTTAAGCAGTCAAAGCAAAAGATGAAAATATTTAAAGTTGTTCATTGTTGTATTGCAGTGGCTCAAAGAAATAGGAACCATAAAGCTTGAAAACCTCCAGCAAAATATATATTCCTTTTCCATTCTTGATGCTTAACTTTGCTTCCTATTTGTTATTAGCTGGGCATGTCTACACGAGACACTACGTTGCTGTAGCAACGCGCTTGAGCAATGTAGCACTGGCAAGCACAAACTGTGATGCTGCAGGTACGTCACCATAGCAACACACTCCCATGCTATAGCACGTTGCTATGGCGACGTAGTAGCTAAGAATAACTGTGCGCTACCAGCACGATGCAGTATGATCTATTACTGTGCCATCATTTAGTACTTCCAAAAGTACTAGTACTTCCAAAAGGAAGTACTAAATGACTGCACAGTAACAACAGTGCCATGGGGGCACATATAGACATGCCTGCTGAGTCTATAGCTAAATTACATTGCACACAAACTGGCCAATCACAGACATGAAGTGCTGCAATATTAGGGGCTGTAGATGTTTCTGATGGTGTCAAATGTCTTCTTTATAAAATATCTCATCCTTACTAGAAATAATAAGATATACTTAATAAGATAATGAAAGTATAACAAACTTAAGCAGTAGACAGTGACTTCTTTCCCTGTTGAGGTTAATCTTATTTTCTCTCCAGTATCTTCTTGTTTTGAACAGGTGTAATACGTATGATGCTTTGTCATCCCCTCAGTTTAATGTTATTAAAAATAAACATGGATGGATCTAGGATTTTGAAAAGGGGGTGCAGATGGTGTAGCACATCATTACATACAGAAGGCAGGGCACATTTGTACCTGATACACTAACCAAAGGGTTAGTGTACACATGTACACATGCATATATACACACATATACATTTATTGGAATGTGCACTTATTTGTTAGATTATATATCAAGTTGTGTTAAAAAAACACAACAAACTAAGCAAAAATAGTCAAAAGATAGTGTTTCAATAGTTCCACAGTCATTATAGTTAAATCCACATCTCTAAACTTCATTGCTGAACAAGGAAAGATTTTTTTGAGCCTCCCTGCCTTTCTGACATCTGACACCTCCAGGGATGAGAACAGCCTTATCTGCACATCATACAAAGGACTCCTAGGGACCCAGGGGAATAGATAACCAGCCTCAAAATTTCCCTGTGCAAAATGAAGTTTATTTTCTACCTGAGAGGATTTTTACAATCTTGGATTTGTCCTCAGCCTAGAGAAGGGCTTGTGTGCCCGAAAGCTTGCAAAGAAAGATATTTTTTTGTGATTTCTTAGTTGGTCTAATAAAAGGTATCATCTCTGAACCAAGAGTTCTAGAGTTTTACATCTCTTATTCAGATTCATAAAACAACATCTAGCCTTCTTGAGTGCCTTAATGCCTTCAATTCTTCACTGTCAGTCACTTGTACACCTGAGTTATTATTACCACATACAAGATGAGGTTTCTGGCTAGAGCTAAAAACAGACTGCATAGCTGTGAAACAGAAGAATGGCATTACTAGGAATGGATGACAAACAGTAAAACTGCAGAAGGAAGGATAGTTTGAATAGCAGAACAGCAAGACCATTAAAAAGGAGAGAGGATCATTGATACCTGTCATGAAGAGAGATTAGCAACGTTTAATGGGCCATGAAGTCAACTGACTCCCTTACTACTGCCTGGATAGAAACGCTACTCCCATGGCCAGGCAGTAGGTTTTAAAGTTTGGGTGAAGAAAGAATTAAAAGGTGGGTGCAACTGCACCCCCACTCTCCTTTGATTACCCATTTTTTCTTGGACCATATAATCTGCAAACACTACAGCTTGAAGGTAGAAAGATATATACAACTATCTGTTATCACTCCACCACCCAAAATCAATCTCCCTTTCCCTAGAATAGTCCCATATCTAACCATGGACTTATGCAGGTTATATTTCTCACTATGACATTCCCTCATGTTCTCTTTCTCATTTTACAGTTCATCTTCAGTTTTCTTTTTGTCTATTTCATTCTCCATCAATAGCATTGAAGGATCCTGTAAGGTGTTCTCCATTCTCTTGTATTACATGTTCCTACATCCTGGGATTAATACCTCATCTCCAAATGAAAGGATTAATGTTAGCCTTGTGCTGCACTCAGAATCTAAGAGCAATGAGTCCAAGAATCCTATTGTCTACTTGTGCAACCTCAGCTTCAAAGGATCTGATTCAGTCATTATCCTGATGGCCCATCATAAACTGAGGCCTCTGGCAGATGTTATTTTGGTTGCATGAGCAACTTTGTCATGTGATGGAAAGATTGTGCGATGTGAGAACTTCATGTGCAAAGGGCAGGGTGTCCACAGGGGAAGAAAGCAGCAAAAGAGTTTGTACTATCCATGCTTGCTGGCTACAGGAGCTGGAGGGCCCCAGCTGTGCAAAGGGTGGGCAGTATTCCCCCACTGCTCAACCCAGACTGAGGGACCCCAGGCCTGAACGAGGTATATTGGGTCTTTCCCCACCCCTTGTTAAGGTGGTAGGGGGCATTTCCCAGCTGCTCATCCTGGCCTAGGGTTGCCCAGTCCAGGTCAAGTAGCAGGGAAATGCCCCCCATCACAGCACAGTGATACAAGGGGTGGGGAACGACCCAGCTTGCACATAAGCGAGGTGAGCATGATAGGCTGCTGGTGCCAGGGCAGTAGCTGGGGCCATGAGCACAGCAATTTACCTACAGAGATAAGGTGATGGAGAGTGTGCCCTTTCAGTCTAAAGGAGGCTGCTGGCTGTGTTTGACAGCCCAAGTTACTATTCTGGGACCTGTGGGGAAGGGAGAGAAGAAGCAGTGCACCTTGACAAGCTAGAGGACCTGGCAAAGCCCTACTGTGCCATGTGTAACTTGCCACATATTCAAAATAAAGTACAAACAAAGCAGTCTTGAAGATGTTCCCCATTTAATAAATAACATTTTTTGTGGCTGGTTAACCATTTTTTGACTGGCTTGCCATTTTATCACATGTTAAAGTCCCTGAACATATGGCATATTACAATTCACTGCAGTACTAAAACATTAATTGTGCAATAAATATAGTATCTGCCAGTGGCCTGACTAACCTGTTAATTGCATGATAAATTGTAACATCCCACATGTTCAGGGAATTTATGATAGGATAAAATCACCAACCAGCCAGAAAAATAGTCCGCAGTAAAGCTGTTTCCAGCTTTAAACTGAACATGTGGCACATGTCCCAAACCTAGGGCTGTCTCTTGCCTGATGCCAACAATCAGCTGATGTTCGGTCTTGGGCAGAGGGCAGCCCTGGGGTCTGGGATACAGTTACCTCCTAACTGATCCTGGGGATCAGGAGACAGAGGACAGTCTGGGGCCTTGAACCATGACCCAGGGTAGCCCACTGCCTAACGCTATGCTAATGATCAGCTGATTGTCAGCACTGGGCAAGGGCAGCCCTGGTTCAGGGACACAGCTATCCTGGCTTCTGAAACCAGTTCAGGCCCTGGGGCTGCTCTCTATCTGACATCTCTATTGTCTGCCAGCAGCCTGAGGTTTCAATTTCCACTTTCTCTTCCCAAAGGGTACCACTGGTATGCATACAACATAATTTGAACTGTCAGGCAGTCTGAGATTTCCACAAACTTAAGAGTGTACCTCAACACAGAACTGTGTATTTAGCACTTTAACACAATTTGCAACTCTTTTACTGCCCTCTAATAAGTAGCCACTTTCACAAGGTGCAGTCAAACTCCTTTTACTCTTCCCACTTGTCCTGTTCACATTCTCTATGTCTTTCACACTAGGCTGCACAACTAACTACTGGAAAGTCCTCAAAACCAGCTTCCCTTGCTCAGCTCCTCCTGGTTTCATACACTCAATTCCTCTCTCTCCCAACTCTCAGAGCTAGCTCCCAGACAGTTAGGGCTATGGTCTGCCCTCAGCTGAGACCAATGATACAACAGTTAGCCTGCTAGTGGCTGCAGCTATGTCTGCAGAAGCCTAAAGACTGCCTCCTGGGAATGGAAGTACTAAACAATTTCATTTGGTTACAAGATGCAGGCTATACAACACATGCCTTATCTTGCCCTTGAAACTTAGTGGGTTCCCTAATCCCTGCTCCTAGAACTTTAGGCTACTTCCTGATCTTGGCTTCTAGGTTATCTATATCATAGTCTGTAAAGGGGGCCCTCAACCTTGGTCTACCTTCTGGTCTGAGACTATGGCCTTAATCAATAGCAAAGACTGCCTATACCCTGGTCTCCTGATATACCCATAAGATGACACTATACTAGTGTAAGTTTTATACGATTTTTAAAAGCATTTGTAATTTAAAAACATCAAATAACATTTACTTAAACTGCCTCACCACAACCTTCTTGATAGTCTTTCACAAAAAACTGTAAGTACTTTTAGAAACCCTATGACTTCATTTGCTTAAACGGAATATAATACATTTCATTTCTTGTATCTTTTCCTGACAAGATCTTTATTAAGTAGGGTAAAATTTTAGTTTAGCACAAAAACAAAGGTAAAATGGGGCTGCTTTTTAAACAACCTTAGCATACGTAATGCCTTTCCTGTTTCAGTAGTTAAGTGTAAATTAAAGTCTGTCTTAATTTCATTTTCATTTTAAAAGATAAAAGTAATGGCTTGTGAAGAACCTTGATATTACAACATAAAGTGTAGAAAATGTATATGTGCTGTAAATTTCTGCCCTTATATCCATTTATCTAAAATACCCCTTTTCTTTAGTTCCAGTGGAATTGTCTGCATGTGTTATTAATGCACACGAATAAATTCCAGCTCTTTGCCTGCCCCAGCCTGGCCTTTAAAATTGTGCTGTGACCCCAGGGCCTGTGCCACCTGCTGTCTGCCTCTGGTCATAGGGTCCCACAGCAGCAGCCTTGTGCCGGCCACAGCAGGCTCATGGACCTAGGCAGTGGCCCCTGAGC